TTTTAAGACAGAGTCTCATTCTGTTACCCAGGCTGGAGTACAGTAGCATGGTCTTGGCTCACTGCAACCTCTGATTCCTGGGTTCAAGCAATTCTCCTGCCTTAGCCTTCCCAACAGCTGGGACTACAGGCACGTACCACCACACCTGGCTAATTTTTTGTATTTTTAGTAGAGACGGGGTTTCACCATGTTAGCCAGGCTGGTCTCAAACTCCTTACTTCAAGTGATCCTCTCACCTAGGCCTTCCAAAGTGCCGGGATTATAGGTGTGAACCACTGTACACGGCCACTCCAGACCACTTGTACCCCAAGATGTTGCTCTTTAGTTCCTTTGTGATCAGGGCTTGTGGAGTCTCTAGCATGTTCTGATTCTAGATAGCTACTGTGATTTTTTTTAGAAAATATTTATTTAGAAGGGCCTGGTGAGGTGGCTCACGCCTGTAATCCCAGCACTTTGGGAGGCTGAGGTGGGCAGGTCACCTGAGGTCTGGAGTTCTAGACCAGCCTGACCAGCATGGAAAAACTCTATCTCTACTAAAAATACAAAAAATTAGCCAGGCATGGTGGTGCATGCCTGTAATCCCAGCTACTTGGGAGACTGAGGCAGGAGAATGGCTTGAACCTGGGAGTTGGAGCTTGCGGTGAGCCAAGATCACACCACTGTACTCTAGCCTGGGTGACTAAGTGAGACTCTGTCTCAAAAAAAAAAAAAAGTTAAAAATATTTATTTAGAGGGCTTGTCTAATGTGAGGATCCGCGCCCAGCCTTAATGTTAGGATTTCTAAACAACAACAAAAAAAAAAAAGAAAAGAAAAAAATATTTATTTAGAATAGGTTGGTTAATTGACACAGTTTGATAATTAAAATGGTATCAAAGGGGTGGGACATCTCATTCCCACCTTGCTCCTGTTCACCCCAAACCCCCGTAGATTCTTATGTCTCTTTTCAGTGTTTCATTTTACAGATACAAGTGTATATAAATATATATTTGTTCCCCCACCTTCTGACACAAAAAGAGGCATACTACATATATTGTCTACTACATCTTGCTGGTATGTATATATATATATGTATATATATATCAGTTTTGCTTTTTTTTTTTTTTGAAACAGGGTCTTACTCTGTTGCCCAGCCTGGAGTACAATGGCTGGCATGATCTTAGCTCACTGTAGCCTTTTTTTTTTTGAGACAGAGTCTTGCTCTGTTGACCAGGAAGGAGTGCAGTGGCATGGTCTCTGCTCATTGCAGCCTTTGCCTCCCAGGTTCAAGTGATTCTCCTGTCTCAGCCTCCCGAGTAGTTGGGGTTACAAGTGGGTGCCACCATGTCTGGCTAATTTTTGTCTTTTTAGTAGAGATAGGGTTTCACCATGTTGACCAGGTTGGTCTCGAATTCCTGACC